TGAGCCGCCCCGGGGAACCGTGCAGGCTGGATTATGTTTCTTCTCATACCCCACTTCCCCCCGAGATAACAGGGTGAGGTAGCGCGTCCTCCAGGCGACCCAAATTCACCAGTCGGGTTCATGCGTGGGCTAGGTTTAATTAAAGCAGCTCGCTGTGAGCCGAGGGCTGCGCAAACATCTCGGCCCTCGTTATGGAAGGGGCTAGGGCCTGCTGTGGCTGAAGCATTAGGCTTCAAAAGGCCTAATGCTTTTGAAGGGGAGGGCTGTTTAATTTCACTTTTTCACAGCTTTATCCCCACCCTGCGCAATTAAAAGCAGACCTCCTCACCTGGCCTAACCACGCGCAAGTCCACTGTCACGAGCGGGGCTGCGCCAGTTGACACACGCAGTTGACGCACACGGGCTTGACTGACTTCACTGCCAAACACACCACCTTGAGCAGCCAGAGCTCTTGCTGAAGAGGTGAGCAACTCTGCTGAGCACAGCTGAAAGGGCTGATCTCTTCGCCCCAGGCATTGGGACATTCAGTGGGAACTGCTGGTCTCTTAAAGGGAGACAGAATAGAACCCTCCGACCTTAAGCTAAGCGCAAGTGACTGATACGGCAAACACACAAATATCGTTTTAACCACTGAATTTACCCACTGAATTGAAATTAACCGTTGGATTTAACCATTCAAAATCTCGACTTAAATCCATACTAACTAATGCTGCTCAAGACCCACAGCGAGGTGCTGTTTTCCTTCCAGAAAGCAGAAATCGATAGGCATCTGAGATGTGCGTAAAATTAAGAGTTAAATTCTGAATATTCTCACACAGGCTTCTTTGCCACCCTGCTCTGCAATGCTTACTCGTTGCACACAGCATCCTTCCCACCGTTTTGAGCTAGCCATGTTCACTCTTCATTTGCCCCCTGAAAGACAGCATGGAGAAAGAGAAAGGAGAAATGCAATAGTCCCCCGTGAAATGTGAGGAACACAGCTGTAAGCATGTGCCAAAAGCTGCAATGTAAGCGGAACGGTAAGAGGAGGCTGTAGACACCGTTATTTCTCGTGCTGCTATTCACTTTATCTAGCAGTCTAGATTGCAAGCCTCCCGGGGACCGAACTATTCCTCAAGCATCCTCCACCTTCCTCAGCCCTTGCCTCTGAGCAACAGTTCAGCAACAAACAAAAGAGCAAAAAGCAACAAGCAATAAACAAAAGCAACCGGCAGTACACAGAAAGGTAAATAACGGCTTTACTCTGACTGTAAAGCAATTAGTGGCTTTATCTCCATTTTGAAGACAACAAACGTATTTTCCAGAGGCATTATGCGGCTGGGAACCCTTGGTCTACTGACTTCTTGTGTAAGGGCACAGCCCTGACAGTATTGGCAGTTGGCTTCGACAGCCCAAGTTTCTTAGATGAATTAAGAGTCCTACCATGTATCTCAGGAGAACAATGAATGAAATCATTCTTCCCCTCTGCTGAGTGCAATTTTACAGAAAATCTTTGCAAACAGAAAATGTATGTTTAGTCTGACTGAAGCAATTGATGATTTTGAAACGAACTCACGGATGTGCTAAGGGAAAAAAGGGAACCGGTTTAAGTATTGATGTCAATGATTTCAAAGAAAATATTTTGTTTGCTGTCTTGCTTTTCTGTACAAAGTGATGCATTTTAATATTTACCGAAATATAGTTACACTCCTTGTCCATGTGGCAACAAAGCTGACTTGATTTATCTTTCTGTATCTACATGGATGTAGATGCAGCTGCGTGAGTGTCTGTATACATTCCCTCCTAATAACGTTTCAATTCATTGCCTGATTTCAACTGAATTTGACAGAGGTCTCAAAGATAACTAAATTGCTACTTTTTTTTTTTTTTAAACGGGCAGCTGAGAAAAGAAAAAATCTTTAAATTCTGCAACTAAAGGAAAGGTTTCAGCATGAACTCAGCCCTTATCAGATACCAGAGCGTACAGAGCAGAGTGCCAGCTGTAGATGAAGCTTCAAATGCTGCTTCAGTCACAGGATACAAGTTTATAGAAAACCTGCTCA